TTTTTTGTCCTTTAATTAATAATGTAAGGGTTGGTAAAAATTCTTTCCACTCTCTCTCTCTCTTCCAGAGCCTTATTATCGGGACCAAACGTTTGTTTGACTTAATAGTAAAAAAAAAAAAAAAAAAAAAAAAAAAATAAGGTATAAATAAACCGATACCTTTTCCCCCCTTCCCCTCCCCCCTCTACCCCCCCCCCCCAATAAAAAACCTTTTTTAATAGATAAAAAAGAGACGGATGAACCTTTCTTTCGCTAAAAAAAAAATTTATTTAATTTGTGTGTTTTTTTATTGATTTATTAATGTCTAGTCATTTTGCTTGCTTATTTATTTTATTACTATTATTATTATTATTATTATTATTACAGCTTTGCTTTTTTTTTTTTGTAGTTTATTAATGATTGATTGATTGATTGAATTTTTTTTGTTATGCATGACATAATAATGATTATAATAATACTTTGATTTTTTTTTGGAAATGAATCGGCACCAATAAGTATTATTAATAAGAGGGAAAAGATAAAAATAAAACATGTCTCCATTTTTTATTTAATGTTATTTTATTATTATTATTATTAATAATAATAATAATGATAATAATAAAAAATCGATATAATTTTATATATATATAAAATAAATACCATCTAGTCTTATTCTTGCGCTTTTATTTATTTATTTATATAAAATTATTAATTCTTATTTATTTATTTATTCATTAAATTTATCTTTAATAAAAATAATAATAATAATGAAAAAAAATTAGAATAGTTATTAAAAAAATTTATTTATTTATTTTTTTTTATTTTTTAAATTAAGACTGACAAATGAAAAAAAATAATAATAATTTTAATAATAATAATAATAATAATAATAATAATAATTAAAATTTTTTTTTGCATTTTTTCATGTTGTTTGAATAAATTATTATAATTTTCTTTTTTTTTTTTTTTTTTTCTATTTTTTTCTTTTTTCTGGCTTTTATAAAATTATTTATTTATTTATTTATTTATTGAAATCCAATTTATTACGTCATCATCATCATTATCATCCTTTTAAATGCTTACATTTCACGTCATAATCATTATCATCATCGTCGTGTTCGTCTTCGTCGTCTTCGTCACACTCATACTCGTCATTATTTTATTTATTTATTTTTTTTACCATCATCATTATCATTATTATTTATTATTAAAAAAAATAAATAAACAAAAATTTCGTCGTTCGTGTACCGATGATAATAATAATAATAATAATATTGTTGTTGTCGTAATTAAATAAATAAGTAAAAAAGGGCGTTTAATAATTTTTCTTGTTTTTTTTTTTTTTTTTTTTTCTGTTTTTCGTAAACCGCGAAGTAGACGTAATAATAATAATAATAATAATAAAGGAACTGAATTGTTTAGGAGCGGATTTAACGATGTGTCAAAATATTATTATTAACCCGAATTTCGTTTAAAATTTTTTTTTTTTTTTAAATCGAATAAAACAAATGAATACAACGGTCATAAAAAAAAAAACAAGATGGCGGTATGATTCGGGGTAAAATTCCTGAAATAGGGAGTAGGTAGGGATAAGAAAAAGGGAAATTATAAAGATTTTCCCATAATAATAATAATAAGTATTTTTACGGAGAATTTCCGGGGGGTAAGGGGTCCAAATCGTAATACAAAAATACTCGTTGATGATTATCGATTGTCGTCGTTGTTATTATTATTATTATTATTATTATTATTTTATTTTATTTTATTCAGGTACGATATCATTAAAAAAGAAAAATTATTTTTGGACCATTTTATTTAAATAAATAATTAATAAATAAATAAATAAAAAAGTACCCGAAGCTTTTAGCGTCCTTAATGCCTGTTGAGTATTTTATATATATCTTTTTTATACGTGCAAAAAATTTGTTTTATTAATCTACATATTGTCAATTGTATTTTTTAATAAAAAATTTTAAAATACATAATAATAAAAAAAAATTACTTTTTATTAAACTCGTAATAATATTATGTATGTATAATAATAATAATAATAATAATCAATAAATCGATTGTTTTCTTCTTATTCTTCTTTAAAAAAAAAAAAAAATAGTTATTTGTAAAAAAAAATTTTTTCGGGTCCCGTTAAATTGTTTAAAAATTAAATAAAAAATATTTTTTATTAATAATAATAATAATAATAATAATAATAATGATTAATAGTCTTTTTTTATTTATTAATTACGATGATGTTGTCTATTATTGCCAATGTATAAATTAATTAATTAATAATGTTTCGAAGAAAAAAAAAATTTTTTTATATATTTACGAACGCACAATTTGCTTTTATTAAATTGTTTAAATAATATATTTATTGATTGTTTATCACCCCCACCACCACCACCAATCACTGATTTTAAAAAATACATTATTATTATTATTATTATTATTATTATTAAAATATATTTTTCTCTTTTATTAAACAATCGTTCATTCATTTGTTTGTTATTGTTGGAAAAGACTTATAAGTACAATGTATTATCGAAACGTTTTGATTTCTTTTATATTTGGGGGGGGAGGGGGTCAAAGGTTAAAAGGGGGGATAAGTAGATGGGTAGGTAGGTAGGTAATGAAACCCACATAAAATTTTTTTTTTTTTTTTTCATTTAGACGGCTTCAATTTTTTTTATTTATTTATTTTTTTACTCGATTGTTAATATTATTATTATTATTATTATTATCAATGTGTTATTAAATTTAATATATATTTGTCTTTATAATAATAATAATAATAATAATCAAAAAAAAATTCTATTTTTTCATCTGAAACTAGTAATAGTAATAATAATAATAATTTTTTATATCGTGACTTGTATTGTTAGAACGAATTCGTACTTTTCCATTTGTACACAAAATGTTTTTTTTTTTTTTTTTGAAATTAATTATAGTATATAAATAAATAAATAAGTAATTATTATTATAATTAATAATAATGATAATGTTTTTAATAATAATAATAATAATAATAATAAAATGTAACGGCTAAAAAATCAATATTTGCTTGTGTATAGTTTAGTAAAAGTTTACAAAACAAACAAACGAACAAACAAAAAAACATTTTTTCTAAGAATTAATAATATATATTTGTTTTTATTTATTTATTTATTTATTATTATTTAAATAAATAAAAAAAAATGTGAAGTGAATATATTAATAAAAAAATAAATAAATAATGCGAGTTATATATATATATATATAATAAGATGAAGCGAAAAAAAATATTTGTTTGCAATTTTTTAAAATCGTTTTAGATTAATATTATTATTATTATTATTATTATTATTATTATTATTATTAATTAATTAATTAAAAATAAAAACAGCAATTAGTGAAAACAAAAAAAAAAAAAACGTAAAAACAAAAAAAAAAAACTTTTTATTTATTTATTTATTAATTAATAACTTGATCATCATTATTACAACTTCTACTTATTCTTATCTTCTCATTCCTGTTTATTGTTCAATCATCATTATCATCATCATCATCATCATTATCATTGTTATTGTTATTAATAATTCAAGTTAATAATCAATCAGTCATTTTTTTATTTATTTATTAATAAATGTATATATGTTGGAGTAAAAAAAAAGTCATCATCATCGGTTTTTAATTAGTCTATTATTATTATTATTATTATTAATGAGTCTCGTTGACGTTAATTAAGTGGGAGGAATTATGTGTGCGTGTGTGCGTGTGTAAAAGAAAATGAAAAGATGATCGTGTGTGTGCTTTGAAATGTAGAAGATGATGATGATGATGATGATGACGACGACGACGGGGGAAGGAAAAAAAAAAAAAAAAAAAGGAAAAAAAAATAAAGAAAAAAATACCCTTGTGTGCCACCATGGCAACGAAATCGGTGTGGCCTGGGTAGACGCTACATCGATCCACCTTCAGACATTCAATTCATTCACTGGGGAACCTTTTTTTTTTTTTTTTTTCCTCTTTTCTTCTTTTTACTTTGTTTTATTATCATCATCATCATTATTATTATTATTATCATTCTTTCTTATTTCTTTTTCCTCTGGTGAATCACTTTTTTAAAAAAAATTTTTTTTTTTTTCTTTAATTAAGCATCCACCTTCCCCTACCCCCCTTCCCCCCGTACTATTTTGTCGAATGAATCAATTCACGCATTAATTTTATTAATAATATCATTTATTATTATTATTATTATTATTAATATTTTATTTATTTAAAAAAAAAAACGGTTTATACAACCAACAACAACGACAACCACTTATTTTTTTAAGTTTTAATTGATTTAAGTACAGAAAAAAATAAATTTATTTATTTATTTATTTATAATCGATTATTATTATTTTTAATTATTTTATTTAAAAAAAAAAAAACTTAATAAAATAATAATAATAATAATAATAATGTTTTTTTGTTTAATAAAAGAAAAATAAGAGTAAAATTTTATGTTCAAATTCGAACATAAATACATAAAAATGATGATCAATTATTATGTACATTAATTTATGTATGTTTTTATAAATGATACATTTATTTATTTATTAACTTTAAATTTTCAAAAAGTTTATTTTAATAACAATTCAATGTCTAAAATTAGGATTTTCCGTTTTCCAACCTTTTGCTGTCGGTCCAAATTTATAAACCAATCTCCTTCCCAAAACCGGTTGTAAAACTTTACTCCTGTAATAATACCTAAAAAAATAAATAATTAATAATGATGATGATGATAATATTAACAGTTAGACAGTAGGTGGGGACGGGGGGGGGATAAGAGTGACGTGACGTCATTGACTAACCTCATGGCTCGACTTAATTTTTCATAATTCATTTTTTCATTTCCCTTTCTGTCCCCCCATATTTTAGCAACTTTTTCACTTTTAACAAATCTAAAAACTCCATCATCGTGATTTTCCCAACAAATAACGCTCGGACAATGTTTCGGATCCAAAAGTAAATCCCTTATGAATTCCCAAAGTCTCCCACTTTTTTTTTCCGCTTTTTCCTTTTTCCCTTTCATTCCGGGCGGTCTTCCCGGCGGTCTTTTTCCGTTAACAAATTTTTTCGTTTGTTTTTTAATTTCCACGTCGCTTTGTTCCGTGTCGGAGGACACGTACAAATCCGATTTTCCGTCTTCGCACGTTGTCGACGTCGACGTCGTCGTCGTCGAATTTTCGACGACTCTCGTCAAATTGAATTCGAACGGATATGGTTCCGACGCACTATTATTATTATTATTATTCAATTCGTTCGAATACGTTTCCGATGGTCTTATCAATCCGTAGGAAAAAGGTTCGTTATCAGAATTTTTCATTGTTAGCGGGGATATAAAATCTTGTGGCATGTTCGATGATGACGTCAGAGTTTCCAATTTAACATCGTTTTTACCATTTTCAAATTTGTAAAGGGATGTTATGTCTTCAAATTTATGCACTGAAATAATAATAATAATAATAATAATTGTAAAGACTTATTTTGCGTTATGGCGGTGGTGGTGGTGGTGGTGGCGGTGGCGGTTTTTTTTGTTTTGGTAAAAGGGAATAATACTCACTGGATCTGTGAAGTGCGTGATATAATAAATTTCCATATTTTTCATCGGATTCTAAAAATTCTTTTTTCGTCAACGATAAAAGAGTTTTACCATCCACGTTGAAAGCGTTGGCATTTATAAATTCGTATGGAAATTTTTGACTTTCAGCAACGTTTGCTATCCAATGCATGACGTCATTACTAGTCCAATCCTTCAAATCTTTTCTTTTCCATTCTTCCGTATCTAAAACCGAAAGAAAATTCAATTCGATCGCGATTTCATTTATTAAATTATTATTATTATTATTATTATTATTATTATTTTATTATTATATTATTATTATTATTATTATTATTATGGTCGTACCTTCGTCCGAATCCGTTTTAAAAATTAATTGTTTCGAATAAGCCGTCGTGTCGAGGGTTTTCATATTTCCAATAAATTCTTTCATGTAATCAACAGGCCTTATGTTTTCTTCTTCGTTATAATTAACATTTGGAATAAAATATGATATTAATGCGCTATCGTTTGTCGACTCCAAATATTTCTAAAATAACAAAAAAAAAATTTATTTTTTTGATTTATTTATTTAAAAAAAAAAAAAAAAAAAAAAAAATGGATGAAAGGTAGACAGTAAAAAAACATGGACGATTTTACTCACGTTATAATTAATTTTTGTCGCGTCGTATGTTTCGTACATTTTTCTTCTTCTTCTTTTTTTTATATATATATAAAAATCAAACGTAAATTTTTCAAATCGTTAATTTTTTTTCTTTATTCAAAATCTAAAATAAATAAATAAATAATTAAATTATTAATTTATTTTATATATATAAACAGAAAATCCAATTATCACCACGTTAAAGTAAACTCTTTATTTTTTATTTTCCTTTTTTCAAAATATATATATATATATATTTATTAAAATAAATATAATTGAATATTAATTGAAATACCTGAAAAAATATCAATTATTATTATTATTAATAAAAAAAAAAGATTGTTCAGCATTGTTCTAATTATTTTCCATAGAGATATAAAACAAGCGTTGGTAATCAATCAATCAATCAATCAATCAATTATACTCTTTTTCGTATAAATTTTTAAAATAATTTCACACGTGATAATAATAATAAAAATTGTTTTATTAAAAAAAAATGTCGTCGTTATTAAAAAAAGGTATTTTTTGTGGGAGGAGGAGGGGGTTTGGGAAAAAGATGGAAATGAATTTACAATGGTATAATATACAAACCTTAAATTTTTTTTATTTTGGTTATTTCCTTTTCCATTTACTGCCACGTTGTTTTAAACATTTTTTTTTTTATTTTAAATATTATTTATTGTTACAATTTAATATTATTTTATTTCAATTGTTTATTTTCTAAACACTTTTTTTTTTTTTTTTAAAAACTTAAATTTCGTTTTATTTATCCTTATGGAGAGAGATAGAGAGAGAATTTATTATTTAACGTTATTTTTTTCAAACTTAAATTCGTCTGCTTTCTTTCAGCACTTTACAACAATATATGTAAACATAAAAAATCCTTTTTTTTTTTTTTTTTTTTTTTTTAAACACTTTTCTATTACCCAACAGACAGAAAACTAAATTTTTCATCAATTTAACTCCAATACACGGTGTATGTTAAAAGTCATGGAATAATGATTTTTTTAAAAAATAATGTTTAGTTTGTTATTTTAAAATGACGTCACGTATACAATTTAACTTTTCCTTATCCTCGATCTTTTTTTTATTTTTTTATTTTTACGTTGTAATTTTTTTTGAACGTTAAATGATACTTTTCTTTTTTTTTTAACAATAATAATTTTTAAAAAATAATAATAATAATAAAAAGTTTAAAGTTTTGATGTAAGCTCAAGCGTTTTACAGTTTTAATGTTTATTTTATTTGATGACGTCATTTAAATAAATGTCAAACCTGTTATGTACGATAAACGAGTCAATAAACCATGGACTAACTTACGGTGATTCCCCGCAATTCAAGAATCTAATTTGTGCGGTAAATGGCGAAACAATTTTTTCTTTTTTTTACAAAATCGGTACGAATTTTTTTTTTTATTTATTATTACAACAGCACCTTAAAACCTTAAAAATAATTTCATCCGATCGGTATACTATTAAAAAACCCATAATAAAAAAATTTATCAAATGTAATTATTATTGTATGAAAAAAAAAATTTAAATTTTTTTATTTAGTACAAATTTTAATTTTTTTTTTTTTTTATAAATTTATTTATTTTTCCTAATTAATTAATTACGTTATAAAAACAAATGTTTTTTTTTTTTTTTTGAAAATACAGGAAAACTTATAAAATTTGCCCTAACAAAAAAATTGTTAGGTCTTGTATTTATGTCAATTTTCTTTTATTTATTTATAGAAAACGAATTTATATAAAAGCTTTATATAATATAAATAAGTAAAGGAAAAAAAAAAAAAAAAACAAAATTTATCAAATTTAAGGAGGCAACAGATAATATTGGCGGATAAAAATGACATTTTTTTTTTTTTTTTTAAGAATTAAACGGACTTGGATATATTCGAATGAGTTGTCTAGGCAACCATTTAGGAAATTTTTTGTTTATATAAATATATATTTGAAAAACGTCATCGCTCACCGCCTTCTTTATAATAAAAGCCCGCGTTACACGTGATTGTTGTAAAAACCGCCATTTTCATTGTTATTGTTAAGAATTTTAGCGCGCATTTTTTTTATTACTCTATGTCTGTGATCTTATTTAGTATACGAATTTATATTTTCCTGTTGTATATCGTTCTACTTATAATTTTAAAAGTATTTGAAAAAAAAATTGAAAATATATTTTCGTGGGAGTCTCATATAAATATATTAATTAGTAATATGAGCTGTACTAAGTGAAAATTAATTAAGTTAAGGGTAAATATTTGTTTTTTTCCCCCCCCCCCTCGTTTTTTTAAAAATCGATTATTATTTTACATTGTTATACTGTAACTGACTATATTATTGTGTGTTTTTATGTTAAATATTTTAATTTATTGTACTAATGATTTTTTTTTTTTTTTTTTTTTTTTAGGATATCACATAATCACAGGATTCACAAAAGAAGAAAAAAAAGAGAAAAAATGAAGAAGAGTTAAAATTTATTTATATTCATTTAAAATAATTTGAAGATTTTATTATTATATCACCTGGTTTTTATTTTTGAATATGAGATCCTTAAAAGGTAAGTACAATTTTATTTTCTAAACTGAATCATTAAAAAAAATATAATTTTAAAACATTAACATAAACTTTTTTTTTAAAAAATCAAAAGAAAAATTTACAAAACTCATGTACATGTACTCTTATATATATATATATATATATATATATATATATATATATATATATATATATATATATAATACAAAGAATAATCGAAATTAAGGACACAGCCCCTCAATTAAATCTTATTACTAATCGAAATACATATTGTAAATTTTAAAAAAAATATAATTTTATACACCGAAGAGATAAAAAGAAGAAAAAAAAATACAAAAAACAACAAATATTTTACAATGAGCAAAAAAATTTAATCACATTTATTAAAAAAAAAAAAAATTATATTTATTATCGAAAGGAAAATTTTTAAGTACTTGATTATATATATGCTGTTTAATTAACAATAAGAGAACAATCAAAAAAATCATTATTATTATTATTATTATTATTATCAATCTCTTACTTTTTTAAATACAATGGGGGAAAACAAAAAAAAGGGTATGTATATCCTTTTTATAATTTTTATGTACGTCATAACACGGCAGGACCCTTAAAACCAGGGTGATTTGCCTTATATGTTAAAATATTATATTATATACGCAAGTTTTGTCACGAATTAAATTAAATCTATATAAAAAAAAAAAAAATATTAAAACTAAAAATGAACCTAATTTCATAGTTGAATGGGAAGGAATGGATTAAAGTGGGTTCGGGTTGAAGTAAGAGCTGGTAACCTTGTAGGTTGAGCAATTGGCAACCTTGCTGTACTTTGAGGAACAAACGTTTGAAACGTGAGAAGATTATCGGTTGGCCTTAATGTCGTCGGGGTGGAATATTGTCCGAAACGTACCGTGCTCCTGGGATCCGCATTAACGTTCGCTCTAAGTATAACAACACCCGATGGATTAACTTTAACCTTTATCTTGGTACTCGGTGAAAGTACTCCGTAGGAAACGTTTTCGTATAAATCCTAAAAAATTATATTATAATTTAATCGTTGAAATGTAACGAATTCATCTGCAACCTGATTTCCAGCTTTTTTAGTACCTCCACTTGGTATCCTCCAGAATTGATAAGTCCTAATTCTCGTAATGTTACAGCAATATCTGATGGAGTACCGTCAGTTCTTCTGTTAAGGAAAGCGATGGCATATGAAAAATATCCTTGAACAACAGGAGTTATCGGTCTAGCCCAAATTTCAATTCCTCTATGCTGTATTTATTAATTAATTAATTAAATTTTATTAACGTCAACAAACAAAAAAAAAATGATAACACAATCAGGTATATCAAACCTTATATATTCTTCTTCCTTGAATACCCAAAGGATCTTGATCGACTGCAATAATTTTTCTGTTTTGTAAAATGGCTTTATATTCAGGTCTGATAGTTCTTAAATCGACAGACATTAAAAGTGGAGCAGCCAATATGGCCCAAAGTGCAAATTGAGTTTTTGATTGTTCGTAACTCAAACCGAAATTTCCAACAATCAACTAACAAACAAACAAACAAACAAACAGTTAACATTTTTTTATGATGTTTTAACCGATTAAATAATTTTTTAAAACATTAGACCAACCATGTCTGGATCATTAAAGTGTCCAGGACCTGCATTTGGAACGATGGCATCTTGATTATTTCCATAATAATCGATAATGCTTTCAAGACTGGCCCAAGAATCCTGGATATCGTCGAAATTTCTCCACAAGTTACAACTATCAATAATGGATTTAAAATTTGGCTAAAAAAACAAAAATTTCAAGATAATAATAATAATAATTTCACTTTTAACAAATAAAGTTTGCCAAAATTACATAAGAAAATTAACAACAACAACAACAACAACAACTTACCACAATGCCTGCATATATTTGATAAACTGGCCAACTGCAAGAATAAACCATGGGTCTTCCAGTTCTATTAAGATAATAACCAAATTCCGGATAACCTAATTAAAAAAAAATTTATTTTTAAAAAAAGGGTGTGTGCGTGTGTGTGTGTGTGTGTGTGCGACAAATTTCCCACAGTTTTCATTTCCCACCAAAAAAAAAAAAAAGACACAAATTAATTATAAAAAGTTCAAATGTTTTTTTTTTTTAATGTCATTTATAAAGGGGTTAATCTCGAGACTTGTTCGCCTACACAAAAAACCGTTTAATATCATTTATTTGGGGGGTATTTACCTACCACTTTAGTAGTAGTAGTAGTAGTAATTCATTAATTGGTTGTTTCAAGGTAGTCACCTCTCTCAAAATCAAATAAACTAAAAATAAACTAAATTAATTTATATATGTTTTATTATTATTATTATTATTATTAAAATGAATTAAAATTTAATTTTAAAATGTCATATGTTTAAAATCTTAGTCATCTACTCCCCGACGTTCTTGATATTTTTTTTTTTTTTTTAAATAAAAAAATACCGGTATTTTATAAATTATAACTCTTTTTTTTTTTTTTTTTTTTTGTTATTCACATTAAATTTCACTTTTGCTTTAATAATAATAATAATAATAATAATGATTATTTTTATTTAAAAGTAAAAAACAAAAAGAAAAAAAAAATTAATTTTCAAATGAATATAATAACGACGAGTAGGCGTTTATTGCGAATGGTGAAATCGATGTTTTTTCTTTTTTTTTTTTTTCTCTTCTGATTTAGTAGTACGAACACGCAGTCAGGCACGCAGGCACGTAGGTACACGCACGCACGTACACGCATTCACACACACACACACCCGCAAATTGCAAATTTTTTAACATTTTGTAATTTTTTTTCTTTTTAGGTTATACGATAACGACGAGTACGCAACAAATAATAATAAAAAAAAAGAAAATTTTTAAAATAAAAAAAAAAATCGTCGTCGCGACGTTTTTATAATAATAATAATAATAATAAAATATAAACCTTGGAAAAATTTTAACCTTTTTTCGAAATAATAATAATAATAATAATAATATTTTGTCCAAGTCATTTAATTTATATTAAAAATTCAAAAATTTTTTTTTTTTCGGGGCCTTGAGAATTTTTCGATTCCGTCACATCGTAAAAGATCAAGGGAAACCCCACTCCCCCCACTCC